TTAACAATAAAATTATCTTAATTATCTTAATTTTCAGCACAAGACGTGGTGGATGAGGGCTTCTTTTTCACAGGTAAAAAATTACATTAATGCTAATTATAGTGCAGGACTGCTAATATTATTGCATAACATGGTTCACACATTTTCATATTATAGTACTGTACACCACACTTTTATTTCTTATTTATGTCAATGAAGTGATTTTTATGTCACTGGAAATCAATCTTATTATCAATCATCAAACATTGCCGATTGGTTTACATAAATGAAGAAAAAAGCCAACCTAAATATTTAAAAAAAATGTTTTTGTTGATAAATGTTTTTGTTGATAACAATAGTATAGAGGAAAAGCACATAGATACAGAATTGGATGAACCAACAGAGAAAGACAAAAACGATTCTTATCCGAGCATAAATGATGATGACGATAATGTTGCTGGCAGCAGTCAAGTCAATGACGATGAAAATGACAATAGACAGGAGGCCATTAATCCACCTGATTTCCAAGAAGGGAATCAGATTAAAGATACTGCAGGTAAATTACCAAAATTTGCATTAAAAAGTGCTTTGGGAAAAACATAAGACCAGAGTAATAAACTTCCCGTAGACGAATAAAGAAACTTTAAATTGCAAATAACAAATTCAGGAATATTGTGCAAGTAAATTAAGAACTGTATTATTTTTATGTCTTTTAAATTACAAGATCATTCAATTTCAATTAAAAGGTATTGCAGTATAATCAATTATTATAACATATTATTTTTTTTAATTAATTAATTATATTGATTATTTTTTGAAGGGTTACATGTTAAAAGCACTGCCTCAAATTTAATTCCTTCATGTTTTCATATAATTGTTATAGGCGAAACTTTTTCTATTGTAATAAAACATACTGTATGTAAATATAAATGTGACTTTGTGAGATAAATTGTATAATTTTATTGAATTAATTTTATGCTATTACATTGTTACAACCTTAATTTATTTGTTGGATTTTTTTTTATTTTAGAAACATCCAAGAAGAGGATGGCAGACAAACAAAATCGTAAGTACAGTATATTTTAAACTACAGTACACCCGGGTTACTTTAGGCAGCCACACAAATATATACCAGTTTAGAATTTATTTTTCATTTTTCATTTACAGGTTGCAACAAATTTGTCACAATCACCATTAGTAGGACCATTATCGTTGATAGGTGATATACAATCAGTGACCAAATAGGCACTGTGACGCAGGATTTTAGGCTGGCTAAAAACAAAATTTAGCAATTTTGCTAATCCAGTATGATTAGCCAAATGGAAACAAAAGAATATAAGAATTGTTAAAATGTATTTGAATTGATTCAGCTTTTATTAGGATTTGAGTATTTGGATAACAACAGCTTAGAAACACTGGGCGCTAATATTCCTAACAGCTGAATTTTGCTAAATGATTTTATTCAGGTAGCAAAAATGGTTAAAGATTTTGGGCTGTATAACTGTTCAAAGCATGTTTTACATAATCAATTACCCAATTTAATAATTTGGCTTGCTCAAACCCTGAACATCATTTAGTGCATAAAATACATAGGAATAAAATATCTATGTCACTACAGCTTATTATAGTATAATAAAAAAATTTCAGCAGCTATTAGGAAGGCATGGACAAAAAAGCAAAGAAGAATGTCCCAAAAGGCAAATGTAAGAATTATATACAGTATACTATATATCTTGACTTCAATTTAATTTGATGTTTTCATGAGTCTTGGGAATTAGTGTAAGATTCTGCAGCGAAACGACAGGTGAAAAATAGTCTAATTTTGGCTAAAACGCAAAGGGTGTAAATTACGGTTTTTGTCGAAATTGGACGATTTTTTTACCATGTCATTTTCCGGTTGTTTTGTGTTCTCTAGTACCTACAGTATGTATCACAACAGGACAATACACACTAAGTTTGAAAATTCATCTGAAACATAGTTTTAAGCTTAAAAATGTGAATTCCGATGGTATCCAATAAATTAAGGCCTATAGACTCCGGAGCGGATGCACGGGGGTCGGAGGGGATGGTGCAGACGGTGCGGTCGCACCTTTCTAAATGTTATTAAGAAAGTAATTGTTGTATTGTATTGTTGATGTATTATTTTTATCATTATGAACATAGGACCAGTAAGATTCCAGGCACCTAGGGGCCCACATACTCAAAATGGTGTGAACTCTCACACACTGCCTCCCACCAAATCCTGTATCCGCCCCAGAGACCTAAGTTAAGGACTCTTAACTGGCATAATTCAACAACATTAAAATAAGAAAATTCAATGGAACAAGGTTTCAAACATGATCTGTTTCATGATCCGTGGACAGAGGCCTTATAGCATCTTCATATGCAGTATGTTGTTAGTACCCCTTGGACCAGTTTTAGCCATATTTTAATGACTGAACTAGAAGAGTCTATTGTTCCTAAATTTATAGAATCAGGTATTATTAAGTTTTATGCTCGTTTTGTTGACACACTAGTGCTAGCTAAACCTAATGATTTTCATCACATCCTACGTCACTTTAACGCTTTTCATAAATAGATTAATTTTACCTTTGAATAATTTGAAAACAGTAATATAGTATATTTTCTGGATTTACAATTTGAAAACAGCGTAGAAAGCATGAGTATAATTATAATTATCGTAAAAATACACATAAGGTACAAACTGTACTCCCGATAAACATCAAGCAGAAATTTGTAACATTAGAACATTTATGTCATGGAATGGATACCCTTTAAAAGTTGTTAACCATGTACTCAATAAATTAAATGAACCAAAATGTATACATGGGCCTACTGATGATAGCTTGATTAAGATCTGGGTTAGATTGCCTTTATATAGGAAAGGTAGATGAATGCATTTTACGTAGATGCTTAAACAAAGTAAAGAAACACTTAGTTAAAGATTTAAAATTCATAACATTTATGGCCGTACAAAAATGTCTCTCATTTTATATCTACATCAAACCGAATAATAGGAACTATGTTGGTTATCATTTTAAATTTCCAGGTTATAATAGTGATTATGTTGGTAAGACAGATTAATAAATAGACTTAAAGAACATTCTTCACGATCTGATAGTGTTATTAATGATCATATACAAAATTATGAGGTATTCCAATATGTTTTAGGTTTGCAAGGTATACTTGAAAATGATAATGTAGCCTGTAATGTAAGTAATAAATTAGGTTTAATATTTTCTAATACAGTTCTAACATTATTGACAGTTCGCAAAATTGGTCTATACTAAATTGTTTAAAGAAGTGTTTCTATACGTAGGCTACACCCATTGTTTAACAATGGGCTGAAGGCTTCAAAGGAACTTTCTTTGTTTTTGTAGGTAGCTTTGATCAGTAGGGTAAGAATGCTTTGAGCTTTAGTTTATTCATAGCTATGATTGGTCAAACACTTTTGGTACTTGTGCATATAAGCTTGCAAATATGGATAATTTTTCATTCCTGATGATGGCATAATTAATGTCGAAATATTGAATCCTGACACGATAGCGAGCATTTCGATAGTTGGAGTATGCATTATATTATCTTATACAATGTACCATAATGTTAGTCCTTTGATTTCTTTTTATTGTACAGTATATTCATATTTACTGTAATGCAATGTAAGAATTAAAACAATAAATGATATAAACCAGGGAAAAATTAAATGTCACTGTTCCCTGATATAAACTATTGTTTCTGAGCTGTCTTAATTAACGGGCCGCATTGATGATGTGAATTTAACTTCCTTGTATCGCTTTCATTGTGTTACGCCTACATCTTCTTTGAATAAATTCAAAACCTCAAGGACTCTCACGCACTGCCTCAACACTAAATCCTGTATCCGTTCCATAGACCTAAATTAATGACTCCTAACTGGCATAATTCAACAACATTAAAATTCAAGGAACTTCCTTGTATCGCTTTCATTTGTGTTACGTCTACAACTTCTTTGCATAAATTCAAACCCTCAAGGCCTAGCAATGATTTAAAACTACTGGATCCACCTTATAGCTACGCGGGCTGCTTTTATTTTATGTTTTCTTACAAAGCTCGAGTGAATTTCTAACCCGAGGGCTCTAAGTAAAGCCACCCTCTCCCCTGCTATCCAAAAACGGAAGTTCCGAATATCGCCCACTAATAACACACATCACGTGCGCAACAGTTCCAGTCCCAGTTGGAATTGTCATTTGAAAATCACGTTACATGCCCCCGAGTTGTAGTTAATTGCGTTCAATACATCCATTATGTCACCGAGACTATTCAAACTCACCATCGGCATCGTAATTCTCGAATTCATCTCTTCTGGACAGGCCCATGGTGTTAACGGAGGGACGCATTGTGCAGGTATGAAAATGAATGTCAATTTTCAATTACTGTTCTAGAACTGATTTTTGTTACTGTCATTGTTATTCCTTGGCATATTGCTATTGTTAAAGTTATTGTTAGGCCTACTATAATCTTCTAAAATAATATTAATAATAATAATTATTATTATTATTGTTATTATTTTACTAAATATCATTTATTCCATCATTATAATTATTAATAGAATTAATAAGAATTTTTCCGTGCTTTGCAAAAGTATAGGTCATATATCAAGGATGTGTCTCCTAATATTTAGTATCAATCTATGGTGGGGTGTACGTGAAATTTACGGGAAATTTTAGTCAAGTTACAAGGAAGAAATTGTTATGTCTTAGTGACGATCCAGTGAAGGGTGTAAATTTGAGGATCTTTTCAATTTTTGAGGACCCAGACCTAAATTGTCTTTAAAAAAATCAATGGGTATAGTTTAAACCTTGTATAACAGTTCGTCAAGTTCGAGTTTAAGAAATTGTTTAATTTGTGTGACGATCCGTAGTATGGTGTAGATCTGCAGACCAGTGAAATGAAAACGTTCCAGACCACATATTTCGAAAACAGATTAACTGTAAGAATGAAACATTCGGAAAAAGTTTAACCAAGTTAAAAGGAAGATAGTATTATGTGTTGGCGACGAATCAGTCAATGCTGTAAATAGGAGGGCCATTTAAATTTTTGAGATCCCAGACGTAAATATCTATAAAAAGTTTTCAATTGTTGTAAATGAAATTTTCTATAATAGTTTGTAATGTCCAGTAAATAAATGACTGAATTTTTGTGTTGATCCTGCGTAGGGTGTGAATATAAGGACCATTAAAAGGAAAACGTCCCAGACCAGATGTTTAAAAAGCGGGTCAACTGATTCGAATTAAACTTTCGGGAAAGTTTTTTTAAACAAATTAAACTTTTCAATAAATTATATTTTATAAATTATATATCCTTTTAAAGTTAATAGAGATTCTTGTTGATTCATTTATGGTTTAATTTATCTACCCGACTGAGCCGAGCCAATTACCAGAGCCCCCACGACACTTATTTAGTGATCGCTACGCTGACATCGACTGTGACGGGTAAAACCATAGCTAACACTCACTACATATATATATAATCGGTATCTTTATTCAAAAAACTCCTTCATAAAAAAATACATTAGTAGCCAAAAGCTAAGTTGGTGTATTTTGTACAAAAGGAAAACAAGAACGAGAAACAGCAAAAACATTACATTAAAACAATACAAAAGCAAACCCAAACCATCGGTATAAGTTTACTACGTTAAAATTGCACAATTTTAATTTTTCAATTAATTTCATTAGATAAGTGATGGGGCTATTTTAAAGACAATACAAAAAATGAACCCAAACCACAAAATTTCACGAAGTATATATATATATATATATATATATATGATATGATATGATATATATGTATGTATATATGTATATATGATGATATATATATATATATATATATATATA